CTTGGATCCATCTTAGAGGTTACTTTTATATTTCCTAATTATTGAATGTTTGAAATGTGTTCAGCTTTTTTTATTATAGGGATAATACAGCTATCACCATTTCTGTACCAGTTTTAATTGGTTTCTTTCAAATTATTTATTTGGGCCATAGTCCCAAAATGGAATTATAAAGTCAATGAGTAACTCTATAAAGTGCCTCACAATGCAAGTGTTGAAGTATTTAGAGAATGTCATAGCTAATAATTTGGTGACTTAATACATAGTAATTATTGTTAATTACTACCATTTATATATACTATTTTCTCATCTGATTTTAATGCTGAGTATGTTACATTTTTAAATCTTTAGCTATCTATGTCTTATTCTGTTTATGATATTCTAACACATAAGAAATAGAGAAAGTAACCAGAAGGGAATGATGTGAAAACAGACTAGCATTACGTAGTGCTGTCATCATTCCTGCCACCACCACCAACTACCATTCCACCTACAAAAGAAAGCAATTATTTTCACCTTAGGATGAAAATCGGGTGCTTATGGTTTAGAAAGAACGGGTTAGAAGAAATTAGAACTTCATTTTATATAGCATAAATTCCTTGTTATTTATTAATAGTATATAGAATTTAACAACAAAAGTCAAAAGCACTGTGTTTTCTTAACAAACATTTGTGCATGCCTTTTTTTTTAAAAAATATGTATCTTTATTGATTTCATAGAGGAAGAGGGGGAAAGAGAGAGAGAAGCATCAATGATTAGAAAGCTATTGATCAGCTGCCTCCTACACACCCCTATTGGGGGCAAGCATGCCTTTTAAATGTTTCCTTTATGTTACACACTTTGGAAGTCAATGTGTATCTAAAATTGCTGTGTGGTGACAATGCACAGTAGGGCAGTTGATTACTCTTCCAAAACAGAGCCCTTCTCTTTTATTATATTAAAATGTTATTTTATAAGATTAACAGGCCTTTTTTTTCATTGAAAAATAACAGTTTTATTGGTCATAAGAAAGATTTTTTTCTTTCTTTAAAAAAAGAAGTTTGTTGTGCTTTGTTTTTTGTTGCTATTTGTTGGTGGTGGTTTGTGAGAACATGACCCAGTTGATATGTTATACTGGACCATGCCTTGAGTTCAGTATTGTGGCTCTATCAATGAGGTTAATGTCTTTGCCTTTTAAAAGTGTGTTATAATTACTTTAATCTCAAGAGTAAAATGTTCTTAAGTTTTTGTCATTTCCATTAGTAGTTTGTTCTAAAACTCTAGTATACAGGATTCTAAATTTTCATGAAATACATTTATATATCAGCCTGCTTCTCCTTGGGGCAATAGTGTGTGTGTGTGTGTGTGTGTGTG